ATGCTGTCCAGCTTGCTCCTGCCTTCACAGCGCCCACTCTGGCACACAGAGGATCCATGCCCATTGCACTCTCACCTAACTTGTGGCCCTCACTACGGGACCTGCTGGACCCTTCAAGAAGCATAATCTGTTCTCCAGGCTTTAAGCGGGTATTCTGCTCAGGATACAGTTACAGTTACTAGGGAAAGAGGCCCATTTAAACTAGCTCAAGAAGGCTGGGTACAGTGGCACATGCCTATAATCCCAGCACTTGGGAGGCTGAGGCAAGTGGATTGCCTGAGCTCACAGGTTTGAGACCAGCCTGAGCTAGAGCAAGACCCCATCTCTAAAAAAAATAGCCAGGCATTGTGGTGGGCACGATAGTCCAGCTACTTGGGAGGCTGAGGCAAGAGTATCACTTAAACCTAAGAGTTTGAGGTTGCAGTGAGCTATGATGTCAGGATACTCTATCAAGGGTGACCCAGTGAGACTCTGTCTCAAAAAAAACTAGCTCAAGGAAGGTGGGTTATGAAACAGCTACTCGAGGGCAGGAACTGTGGCAGGCTTGGGCTCATAGAGACTGAGCCTAGGAGCCATTTTCCTGAGTGCCGCTGCTCCGCACCACACAGCGAGTCCATTCTCCTCTTGCTGTAGACTGGCTTTCTTTTCTAGTCATTATCACAATCCCCTCATTGCCTCGAGTTGATCAAAGAGTCTTGTCCCAACCGCGCTCCAGCCCCACAGCATCTGCCTTTACCGCTAACTGCCTTAGTCTTTAGATGTTCCAAGCAGAAACCAGGCGCTGTAGCACACACCAGTGGTCCCAGCTCTTTAGGGGTCTGCGACGGGAGGGTGGATAGCAACCATGAGTATGAGGCCACAGTGAGGTATGATTATGCCACTGCACTCCAGTCTGGGAGACAGAGCACGACCCTGACTCTAAAATCAATCAAGAAAATTTTCAATTACAATTTTCGGGCCAGTATTTATTTTCAAGGTTGGTCAAATAGGTCATTAATTACTTTCAAGCTGCAAATAGGTCCTGGTAGTGGAAGTACACAGATGTGGTCCAAACATCTGTGAGCAGGTGGACTAGAAGTTTCCTTTCGAAGGACTATGGGTTGAGAGGCACCAAGAGGTGTAACTTTGATAATATCCTAAGCATAATTAACCCTCATTGCAATCTTGAGTGAGAGCCATTACTGGTACCCATTTTACAGAGAAAAAATAGCGATGAACCCCTGCTTTAAAACCCTGCCCAGATGGTCGATCATGCCTTGTCAAGGGGGTCAAGTACTAGGCAACAGAGGGGCAACTTCCCTCAAGCCTTGGAACCTGCTCAGTTTTCTAAGTATGTCTTTAAGTTACAGCTGCCTGCTCTACCCCCAGACTTCACCTGCCAGGTCGCATCTAATCTCTGTAGTCTGATGCCTTGGTGTTGATCTTAGACCTCTATCTTGTAGCCCAGATTGCTTTCTGCTCTTGATCACACTTTCACTTTCTTTACTAACTCTGGGTCTCAATTCCACCCTGGCCTTGCTGGGTTCCTAGACTGTTAACACACTTTGTCCTGCACACAGCTCTAGAGATGAGATTAGAGTGTCATCTTTCCATCTAGAGTGGAAAAAAACAGAGCTATTACCAGAGCAATCTGCTTGGAAAATAGTTCTGATTCTATCTTTCTGTTCCTCAGAATGCTTATCAACTACAAACTTCTTAGTTAGTACACTTTGGGCTGCATGAAATAAAACCCATTTGAAGTGGCTTAAACAAGATGAAACTTTATAGATACAGGGATATTACAGAGCCCTCCGGAGCAAGAATACAGCCACAGGTCAAACCATAGAGACGACAAACTTTTTCTGGGAAGGGCCAGATATAAATGTAAATGTATTATGCTTTGTCAGTCTGTAGACAATGCAAATAGTAATGTGTTGTTTTGTTTTCTTTTTTTTTTTTTTTCCTGAGACAGAGTCTCACTCTATTGCCCTGGGTAGAGTGCTGTGGCATCATCACAGCTCATGGCAACCTCAGACTCTTGGGCTCAAGTGATCCTCCTGCCTCAGCCTCCCAAGTAGCTGTGACTACAGGTGCCCACCAAAACGTCTGGCTAGTTTTTGTGTTTTTAGTAGAGATGGGGGTCTTACTCTTGCTCAGGCTGGTCTCGAACTCCTGAGCTCAAGTGATCCACCACCGACCCCTGCCTCCGCCTCCCGGAGTGCTGGGATTACAGGTGTGAGCCACCATGCCCAGCAGTAATGTGTTTCAATAAAATTTATTTCTGAAACAGGCAGCCAGCTCGTTTTGACACACAGGTCATAGTTTGAGGACCCCTATATTGAAGCATTGTAAACTCTTTCTGAAGTTCATAGTTCTCCAATCTTCCCTGCGACGCTGTTGTTCCCTTCCTACTTACCAGCTTCTCCTCTTCAGCTTCTCAGATTCTCATGTTGGAATGTGGCTTCTGAAAGCTCTGAGCTTCTTTGTCACAAATTGAAGCTTTCTTGCTTTCCCAGTCCTAACTCTAAAGCTAAAGGCAGAGATGTTGCTTGGCCTTGTTCACCCCTAGATCCATTGCTGTGGCCGGAGGCAGGGCTTGTGGGGGGGCAGGTCTTCTGCATGAACAGGGTTTGTGGGGGGGATAGGTCTTCTGCATGAACAGGGCTTGTGGGGGGGCAGGTCTTCTGCATGAACAGGGCTTTGTGGGGGTGGCTTTGCTGCATGAATGGTCCCCAAGGACCATTACAACCTTTAGGATCCCAGGAGAGGAACCGATCCCTGAAAAATGCAAGCAGTTGGGCAACCCAGTGGACCTTGTTCTGTTCATTCAAACGTCCTTTTTTCAGCATTGTCCTCTGTTTGTTCCCTCATCTCCCTTTGGAAGCTCAACTATTGTTTTCCACACACTCTGAGCATCCCCACCCTGTATCCTCCCTGTCTGCAGGCAGAAACTCTACTCATCTTTAAAGCCCCTTCCATAGAAAGCCACTTTTCTCTTCTTTTCCTTTCTGTCCCCACAACACTCTGCTGGCACACTGTGTCATGTTCTGTTGCTATTTTTGTACCTGTCTTTTTTGACTGAGGAAATGACTTACTCAACTTTTTATCCATTCTGGTACCTTCCACAGAGCAGCCTCTGGGTTCCAATATGTTGGAATTTAAGTAACTGTATCTTCATAGCTGAATAACTCCAAAGTGAAGACAATGTTGACTTCAATAAAGATTTGCATTTAAACAGGAAATGTGTGGTATTGACTTTTAAGAAAATTATTTTATATTTTATAAACATTCATTTCCACACTTAACTGTTGTCAGATAACATTTTCAGAGAGAGATCGGCTATACTCAAACTTACACTTAACATTCTTAAACACTAAGGAAGAAATAACTTCTGTTATTGGACTAAATTAAAAAAAGATCCCTACTTACAGAAATGACCTATTTAGGATAAGCAATAGGAAAGGTTATGAACTTGAAATATGTTTTTTTTTTTTTTTTTTTTTTTTTGAGACAGAG